TGTAACACAATGGTAAGTATTTAGTATCTAAACATATCTAAGTATAGAAAGCGTACAGTAAAAACAGTATGAAAGATAAAAAATGGTCTACCTGTATAAGGCACTTACCTATAACAACTGGAAGTTGCACTGAGTGAGTGAATGGTGAGTAAATGTGAAGGCCTAGGACATTACTGTACACTACTGTAGACTTTATAAACACTGTACACTTAAGCTACACTAAAGTTATAAAACATGAGATTAAATCAAGCACAAGAGAAAATGATGCAATCAAGAGATGTGGTAAACACGAGGTATATGAAGCTGCTACTGGCATAATAGGGCATACTGTTTCAGCTCTATTATCTTATGCGACCACTGTTATGTGAGTATGTATGTGCGTGTGTGACCATTGTCGTGTGTGTGTGTGTGTGTGTGTGTGTATACACACATATAGATAGTCCAAAACTGACCAAAATGTTGTTGTAAGGTACATGACTGAATTATACAGATATAGGTCTAAGGGTAATTTGTCAGAGTGACTCATTAAAAGCACTACACTAAATCCAGCTGGCACAGTTGGGCCCTCAAACTCTACCTCCCTCAGAGTAAATACAGTAGTTTACTTCTTTTGTTCCTGAATTAAACCCTGATAACTTCCTCCAACAAAATGAGTGAAATCTGTCCACAGTGCCTACAGGGCCTGAGAGAGAAAGAAAAATGCAGAGTTAACTGCAGATCCTAACATAGATATGAAGGAAGGAAAACATTTTAAAAGAAAGGAAGATCTGCACCAAATAAATTATACCATCATTAGAAATAAGTTTCTTGACTTCAGTAGCTGTGAGGATTCCAGGTTGCCTACTCCAGAATGACATTTTCTACAGGGGACTTTACCACAAAGAGTTTACAGTCAACCCTCCATTCAGATAAGATGTCTGTCTTGTAAGTGGTGAGACAATATAGCAAAGTGGTTAAGAATATGGATGCTGAATTAGCCTGTCTGGTTCCAAATCTGGGTTCTGCCACTTAATACCTATGTAACTCTTAGGAAGTTACTTCATACCTCTGGTACCTCTCTTTCCCCACCTGAAAAATAAGGATGATGATAACTATATTTAACTTATCAAAGGTGTTATGAGGATTAAGTGAAATAATTTTCACTCAGAATAAGACATGGGTGGGATCAGGAATTCATTCCAAACCTAAGCTAACCTAATACATGGACTGAGTATGGGTCCCACTCTAGAAATCATACCCATTAAAAGTTCCAAATTAACAACAATTTCTTGAGAAACAACTTGAAGACCCCAGAAATTAAGCCATCTGCCTAGGGGTCCTCTTGTCCAGAAATAATGGAATCCAAAGCAGACACCTGAGCAGTACCTAAGAAACCTTTATAAGCTGATAACCTGAAGAAATCAAGAGATAGACTCTGCCAACTTCTACAGTCCCTTTTCTTCTGGTCTGTAATCTACATATGTCAAAATATTACACTTATGATAAGAAAACAGAATTAAAAATTCTCAAGTCTAATGAATAATTTTTGATAACATTAAAGAAGAGGAAAAATAAATTTAAAAAAGTTACAAAAGAGATAAATATAAAAAGGTGTTGACAAATTCTATTTGACATGAATACTGTCCCATTTTCTCCTGGTCTGTAATCTCCATATGTCAAAATATTTTACTTAAGCTAAGAGAACAGAATTAAAAATTCTCAAGTCTAATAATTAATTTCTGGTAACAATAATAGTGTAAAAAAAAAAACAATAACCAAAATTAATGCAAAGAGGTTTCATATAACTGTCACTATGACATACAGACAGTAATTAGTAATTCTAATATAGGCATAACTCATTTAATGAGCTTTGAGTTATTGTGCTTCACAGATATTGCATTTTTTACAAATTGAAAGTTTGTGGCAACCTTACATTGAACTGTTGGTGTCATTTTTCCAATAGCTTTGCTCACTTCATGTCTCTGTCACATTTCAGTAATTCTCACAATATTTCATTCCTTTCAATATTATAATATTTGTTATGGTGATTTGTGATCAGTGATCTTTAATGCTACTCTTATAATTGTTTTGGGGTACAACAAACTGCACCCACGTAGGAGGGCAAACTTTATTGATGTTGTATGTGTTCTGATGGCCCCACTGACCGGCCATTCCCCTTCCTCTTTCACTCTCGTCAGGCCTCCCTATCTCTGAAACACAACAATGGTGAAATTAAGCAAATTAATAACCCTACAATGGCCTCTAAATATTCAAGTGACAGGAAGAGTCATACATCTCTCACTTTAACTCAAAAGCTAGAAATGATTAAGCTTAGTGAGAAAGGCATGTTGAAAGCTGAAATAGGGCAAAAGCTAGACCCCTCGAACCAAATACTTAGCCAAGTTGTGAATGCAAAAGAAATGTTCTTGAAGGAAATTAAAAGTGATACTCCAGTGAACACACAAATAATCAGAAAGAGAAACAGCCTTATTGCTGATATAGAAGAAAGTTTTAGTGATCTGGACTGAAGATCAAACCAGCTACAACATTCCCTTAAGCTAAAGCCTATTCCAGAGCAAGGCTCTAACTCTCTTCAATTCTATGAAGTCTGAGAGGAGTGAAGAAGTTGCAGAAGAGAAGTCTGAAGCTGGCAGAGGTTGGTTCATGATGTTTAAGAAGCCACTGTCTCCATAACATAAAAGTGCAAGGTGAAGCAGCAAGTGCAGATGTAGATGCTACAAGTTATCCAGAAGATCTAGCTAAGATAATTAATGAAAGTGGCTATGCCTTCAGATTTTCAATGCAGAAAAAAACAGTCTTATGTTGGAAAAAATATGCCATCTAGGACTTCCTTAGCTACAGAGAAGTTAATGCTTGGTTTCAAAACTTCAAAGGACAAGCTGACTCTCATGTTAGGGACTAATGCAACTGGTGACTTTAAGTTGAAGCCAGTGCTCATTTACCATTCTGAAAGTTTTAGGGCCCTTAAGAATTATGGTAAATCTAGTCTACCTATGCTCTATAAATGAAACAACAAAGCCTGGATGACAGCACATCTCTTTATAATACAGATTACTGACTATTTTAAGCCTACTGTTGAGACCTATTGCTCAGAAAAAAAATCCCTTTCAAAATATCACTGCTCAATGACAATGCACCTGGTCACTCCAGAGCTGTGATGGAGATGTACAATGAGATTAATGTTGTTTTCATGCCTGCTAACACAACATCCAGTCTGCAGTCCATGGATCAAGGAGTAATTTCAACTTTCAAGTCTTATTTTTTAAGAAATACATTTTGTAAGGCTACAGCTGCTAAAGATAGTGATTCTGCTGACAGATCTAGACAAAGTACATTGAAAACTTTCTAGAAAGAATTCACCATCTAGATGCCATTAAGAACATTCATGATTCCTACAAATAGGTGAAAACATCAACATTAACAGGAGTTTAGAAGAAGTTCATTCCAACCTTCATGGATGACTTTGAGAAGTTCAAGACTTCAATTGAGGAATTAACTGAGATGTGGTAGAAATAACAAGAGAATTAGATTTAGAAGTGGAACCTGAATTGCTGTAGTCTCATGATAAAACTTTAACAGATACTTTGGGTTTTTACAATATTGTTGTCTTAGTTTCAAATTGCTTTTATTTGAGAGAGGAAAAATTTCAAAGCACAAAAGTCTTATGGATCAGAAAAGAAAGTAGTTTCTTGAGATGGAATCTACTCCTAGTGAAGATGGCATGAAAACTATTGAAATGACAACAGAGGATTCAAACTATTACATAAACTTAGTTGATAAAGCAGAGGCAGGGTTTGAGAGGATTGATTTCAATTTTGAAAAAAGTTCTAGTGTGGGTAAAACTCTATCAAACAGCAATACATACTACAGAGAAATCATTCATGAAAGTAAGAGTCAATTGACGCAGTAAACTTCATTGTCTTATTTTAAGAAATTGCCACAACCACCCGGGTCAACCTTCAGTAACAATCACCCCAATCAGTCAGCAATATCAAGGCAAAACCCTCCAGTAGCAAAAATATTACAACTCATTGAAGGTTTAGATGATAGTTAGCATGTTTTAGCAATAAAGTATTTTTAAATTAAGATATGTACGTTGTTTTTTTAAGACATAATGCTATTGAACAGACTACAGTAGAGTGTAAGCATAACTTTTATATGCAAAAAATTCATGACTCGCTTTATTGTAATATTCGCTTTATCGAACTGGGCTGGAACTGAACTCGCAGTATCTCCAAGGTGTGCCTGTACAAATGCAATCTTTTACCTAATTTCAACACATACAGATAAGTAAACATTTCAAAACAAAGCCACCTTCAGTAGTTCATGTTCAGAAATAAATGGAGAACATCACTCATTTTTTTTCTTTACTGGAAAACAACAATCCTCCTTGAATGAAACGACAAATTATTTTTAACAAAAAGAAATATAATTTGTCTTATTTCATTCTTTGGAGCACTTACAGAAGTTGAATAAGAAATTTTAATCATTCTTTCCTTAGAAGACTCCACTTAAGAAGTCTTTTCTCTTTAAAATAGGAAACAAAGGTAATAGTATCTAATAACATACGTACCGACTACTTAAATCCAAATCCAGCCGGCAATTAATGGGGTCCAAGAAATATGATTACTTAAAATATTTTAAATGCATGCCATGAGCTATATGCATGTTTCTGAGGTAATATGTCTATGTTCCATTTTTATATTACTGTTTATTTTTTTTCCTCCCTCCAACACTTTAACTGAGATTCTTCCATTCAGAATGTAACTTTAAAACAATGTCACAATCCTACCTATGGAAAGTGTTTGAATTTATATCATAAATTTATATCATAAGTTCACTTGAAAAATAAAACTGAAAGAAAAAAAATGAAAACTTTTTTCTCTTTGCCATTTTCTAAAAAATAGATAACCATATTAGTACATTTAAACAAATGATTCCAAAAATATAAAAAAGAAAATCATACATTTAACAGAAGCCATATAAAATATCCATCTTACCAATATCATTAGCGAGGGAATTAGGATCAGATGCCCCCAGGGTAGCTTCAAACTCCTCTTGGAGACGATATGCTCTTTGCAGCAGAGCTTCAAGTTTATGGATAAATTCAGTACTAATAATATCCTACAACGAAAGGAAAAGTACACACAACAAATATTACATTCTGATGTTAAACTTCTAAATATTTGCCACTTTTGAATGAAAGGCAGAGAAAGTGAGGGACGTAAAAAACTACTGAGCGGTGAGAGTATTGCAACAGAAGTCAAGATGCCTGGGTTCTAGCTGTGCCTTTGGAAAAATCATCTCAGTTCTTGGGGATTCAGTTTGTCTATCTGTACAACGAAGTGGTTAGACTACATCAGGAATTTTCAAAGCAAGGTCCCTAGACCAGAAGCATCAATATTTCTGGGAACTTGTTAGAGACGCAAATTCTCAGGATCTATTCCAGCTCCACTAAATTAGAAACTCTGGAGGTGGGGTCCTCAACTCTGTGTTTTAACAAGCCTCTCAGATGATTCTGAAGCATGCCCAAATTTGAGAATCGCTAGCCTAGATGATCAGTAAGTACCAGTCCAGTTCTAACTCTATGTGATTTTTATGACTACAATCACACTTAATTAAATCCAAAGTACAAAACAGACTTAAAAATTCCTTCAGAAATCCTATCTGCTTAATTCTATACATTCTTAGAAAATCAGGAAACTTGATGATAAATTGCAAATTTGGGATTTAACAACTAACTGAACAGAAAAAGCCCAATAAAAGATACCCCCAAATAATCCCAAGGGAGAAAATAAACAGCTCTATTAAATGTCACAAAAAAACAAGTATACTGTGTCAACATGACAAAATAGTTTGCTTCTTCCAATATTATGAAGATTGCTCTCAAATAAATCACCCTTACATCTACACTTTCTTCAGCAATGGCATCTCCTGCACCCAATTTAATGGAACTATAGGCTTCATCTTCAGCCTGTCTATTTCGAAAGGTTAGAGCTTGTTCCCATCGACGCAATGCCTCTTCAAACAATTCCATACCTAAAAATTAAGAACAGAACAATTGTAAGTAAGCAAAACCAATGCCAAAATAAAATCACTGTGGGCCAGAAGTGTTTTTCAGAGTTATCACCAATGGCACAGTCTGACTATGTTTTGGCAGTAAAGAATAATTTTATGCTCACATCATTTCATCGTAGAATCTTAATTTCCCAATATATTCTGGGCTTACAGTTCTAGTCAACCAAAAATCAAAAAGAAATGACCAATACATTTTCATCTTTTAAAAAATATAACTCAAAATGTATATAGTGCTTGGAATTTTTCTAGAATGAATAGAGTTGTAGGTTCTCCAGATAACTGAAGAAATGATTTTAGAGGAGAGTTTTCTTTACCATATCTTAAAAAACATCTTGAGAACGATGAATTCATCAAAAGTCCAACAATGGCTAGTTGGACTTTTAATAGTCACACAACTATCTCGAAATATTCCCCTAAATTAAAAAGAAAATTGATAGATAAATAAAAGAAACTAGTTGTTAAGAAGTTATCAGGTTTCTAAAGGTTCTCAGGAGGGAGTAAAACTGAAAGGAAAGATAAATGCAGAGAAATCGAGAATAAAGTTTTTTTTCCCTACTAAAAGTCTTAAACCACTAAGATATCAACTTGCTGATTTGGATAAACTGCTGGGCCAGAGTTAAAAATCTAAAAG